GAAGAAAAATTTCCAAGTTTTTCTTAGAATTTCCGTGATTTTTATTCAATTTTTATCGATATCGATAATATCCTGATATTTCCATCGAAATTTTCGTATTTCTGAACTACCAATATTTTAGACCTTGATCCAAATTACTACACAAGTGGTTCATATGGCCTGGTTTTTGTTTCATCAGTTATACTAACTGGAAAATAAACGAATAAAGAAGGTTTTGGAAGAGAAAGTGGATGAAGTGCTGGGCTTGGGGTTTAGAGAGGGTACGAGTTATAGAGAGACCAAAATAAAACATTTTTTTTTCTTCCAAAATTTAGTTATTTAAATATCTATTTTTTTTCTTTCTAAAATTTATATTTTAGTTCTTAATTAACCTTGATTGCAATGTAAACTACATGTCTTTAAGGGCTTGTTTTGTACGTCAGATTGTACTGACTAATTTTTTTCGGATATTATTATAATATGTTCATGAGAGGACTGATTGTTTATTCATAAAATTTTAAAGGGTTTGGTGCTATTCCGGATAAATAGTCTAACTAAGTTATACTGTGTTTGGTGCTTCGTTAGACTTTTTTTTTTTTCAATTCTTTGGCAAGATTATAAAACCAGATTACATGAACTAACTCATTATCATAATTGTAGAACTTAGGATTTAAGTTACATAGTATATAAGCACACCTTTATTGATGGAAAAAAAAAAAATCAGATCTTGATATAAAAAACTTATTTTCTTGATATATGACAGGACCCGCCCCGAATTCCTCGGAATCCGGGACAAATCCCGTGGTATTTTAGACATCAAAACGATACCGGGCTCACTTACTAAAGAACGAGACTTTCTGCCGAAAATTCGGCAGAGTCTCCCTTGGAAATTGGACTTATCCCCAAATTTTTCAACATGTTAAAAACACAATTGTACACATCCCAACAAGCAACATGCTTCAGGAACGATTAAACAATTTACAACAAAGGCCTTCGGCCTCACAAATCAAACCCTAACACGAGCGATAATAGAGCAATCTAAGAGTTCAGTTTACAAAGAAAATGAAGTTTGACAGATTAGAAAGGATTAAAAGTTCATCATACGTAAGCTAGGGATTCGGAAGCTTGCGACTCGGCTATATATATATATATAAGTAACATCACCCAGTTTGTACCGGGGAAACAATCCAACCGGGGATTGTTTGACTAGTCCACATGGAAGAATCCTCAATTGACAATGTGGCTAGAGAACGAGCCATCCAATCGGGGGACTAACTCTACCAGCAAGTATAGCCGAATCCTCAAAACTCGTACGCTTGTGACAAGTCCTATGCGAGCAGACTATCTCGCTAAGGGTCTATGAAACACCCAGTTGAGGATGCTCGGGTTCCAACGTATCCAAGTATCTCAAGGTCCCAATCCAAAGTTCCAAATCCGGGGAGGTATATAAGGTAGTGCTTATAGCACTTCAAAATGACATACTAATCTCATTCCTTTCCAATATCTCATATCAACACCCCAAGTACCCCACACATAACATAGATAGAAATTCTCAAGAATCATATGTACAACTCAAGATACTCAAATATGCCAAAACCCAAATATAATGCATATACTTTATAAAAACATTAAGTTCAACAATTGAATATATAATGTATTCAATAAACCATTAAAACAATATGCATAATTTTTCCATCATAAAACTATGCTTATTATTTGAAAACAAAGTCCACTCACAAATAGTCTCATGCTGCTTGATCCTGAGAGGGTCCTGTCTGCTGTGTGCGAGTAGTTGCAGTACCTATTTTAGAATACGAGTACGAAATTAATAAAGAACGCATCGAACGAGAACTTTAAATTAAAATCCTAGTTACCCGGGTTTCAAGTCAGTGTACGAGGAACGAGACGTTCCTAGGATCCAACTACGTGTTTCGGATGAAGGGATAGCCTCAGAAGACGCTTGGTCAACCGGGTGGCCAAACTTTCCAAATTGGGTCAACCAGGCCATGGGACCCACGACCTCCGTTTTATGATCCGGAAGTTCCTATGAGTTCCACAAGGTTTACTAAGCATGTCCTGCATGTTTGGTCATATTCGAACGGTCGGATCGCTCGCGATAGCACGATCGGACGGTTATCGTTTACCACAAACTTTAAGTTATTGAATCGGAACATCCGGGGCTCCGATTCGCGATTCGTGAATTCCTACATGATCCTAGGGATGCCTAGATGAACATATATTGAAATGAAGTCAATCCAACAGTCCAAACATGCCAAACCGGATAACCCCTAATATGTGATATCCGTTCGATGATCAAACAATAACCAAATTCAAATCCGAGCATACCGTCGTGCTCATGACGAGATGAGGATTATTTCAGGACTCAAAGATTGGCCAAAAAGTGGCCTATGTGCAGGCAGCACGTGGGTGTCCAAAGAGATTTTTGGCGATCGGAAAAACTCCAAAACCACCGGTCAAGACTTATACCTACTTGATCAAGACATTGAGTAGAGCAACTTTTGTTCTTGGACCCACCCCAAAAAGTGACCGGAAGTGGCAGGAATCGAGGGCCGAAATCGGCCAAAACTTCTATCGCTTATTTGACAACCAAAACGCAGAAATTGATCGTAAACAACACAACCAACAGCTAGAACACATTAAGAGGATGAGAAAGCATACCAAGTTCGAAAGATTTGGTGGACAGAGGCGTCCGAACGAGCTCCGCAAGTTTTACGTAAAATCTTTCCGTAAATCTGCAAAATCCGGCCAGATCTGGCGGTGGTGGCAGCTGGGATGGGGCGGGGCTGGAAGAGGGAGGAGAGGCGGTCCTTTTGGGACCGGTGTCGCCAAGAATGGCAGCGTGTGGTGGCGGTGGCGACGGTTTAACCGTCGATGCTGTTCTGTCGGGAGGGGGGGATCGCACGAAGAGAGAGAGAGAGAGAGAGAGAGAGAGAAGGGTTTTTTTTTTTTTTTTTTTTTTTTCTGGCTAAAATTGGCATCATTGAGTTTCATACTTGGGATTCCTTGAATCTATTTCTGAAGAAGATAATTGACAACGCTAGCTTTTGTCCGTTTGGCAAAAATCCAAGCAGATGATTCAGATCCATTAAGGTGTTGTGTGATAGAGTGTACTATGGTGTACTAGGGGTTTTTTTCTTCCAGATTTTATTAAAACCAACTTCGAAAATATTACGGTTATGCCATTGAGTGTATTTTGATCGTATCTTTTTCGTTACAACTTCGATTCGAGCCCACTATGTGTCTACAGACTCATCTCGGTATGATCTATGTAAAAACACTGGTGATTTCCCCAAAATCCTTGTAGATTAAAAAGTGACCAAATTACCCCTACCCTCGAGGTCAAAATTGGAAATTCTTATTTAAATTAAGGGACATTTTGGAAAAGGCCAAAGGAGAGAGAAATATTTTGAAAAGAAGGCAAAATGGACAAAAATGCCCTTATTTATTTTTGGGATTTCCTAAGGAATCATTTACATTTGCATGTCTTTGGTTTGGAAGTTGAGGGGTTTTTCTGTCTTTTTTGGAAAAGTTTTGGCTTTTTCCAAAAGTAAAAGTTTTTTTGTGGCTAAAACCTAAATTTACTTTAAATTAATTAAATAATTTAAATGAACAATTAAATTAGGATCGGGGTGTTACAATATACATATCACATACAAGACATGAAGCATGTCGAACATCATCAATCTTTTCTCTTGTGTTCTTATGGACGTGAAGCATGAAGTATGTCTGACAAACTTATATCACACAAAATAAAGGGCTTAAGTGTATGAGAGAACTCTCTAATTTTACTTTGTTGATGTGCATGAATCGATTTACCCATGGTCATTCTAGCTTTTGCCATCTTAGCTTACCATTGTAATTATATAGTAATTTTTCCAATACATGAAAAATTGAAGGATCGATGTGATGGTTATTGTATCTGGACTGGAAAAAAGTTGACATATTTAGTCATATACCCATTCTTAGCACTACTAATATAGATAAACCCTACACCATTTAATTTCTATAAACAAACAAAACAAAAACCAAAAAAATGATAGCTGGCCCTATTGAATTTAATTTTGATTATTAAATTACTTTGATGCCCTATTAAGTGTTTTGGGTTTTTTTTTTATGAGGTTTTGGGATTGGGTTTGTTTTAAGAAATCAATGGCAGTTTTGTAATTTAAAAGAAGTTAAGAGTCTTTTTGTTATGTTATAAAATGGGCTTTGGGTATGTTTCTAAAGTCCATTTCATATAGGGGTTTTTTTTTTAATTTTTTAAAAACCAATAATTTGGGCTCCTATATTGGGTATAATAGTAAATCTCCCAAAAAAAATTTCACTTTATTGTATCAGCACCCAACATGCTTATCTCCTAAGACGGAAACACAATTCACAATTAATTAAATAATTGAAATTAAGAGAAACCCCTAAGTATCAAAGCTTTGGCAGCTTCGTATTGCTTTTTTTTTTCTTTCTCTCTTTAATCTTTTTAATTGTTCTCTTTGTTTGATAAGACTTGAAAGTATAGTTAAAGGATGCACAAACAACCAGTGCAACAACATGGATTTTGAAGAAAAACTCACAACTTAATTTTCACAAAAATTTAATATATAAAGAAAGAAAAGATGAAGACAGAAGAAGAGAGAAGAAGTAAGAAGAAACATATTGGAGAGAGTATGAGATAGAGGGAGAGATGAATACATGGAGAAGAGAAGATAGCAAAGAAGAACCCTAAGGAGAAGACGATGGAAAGAGCGTACAAAGCCTGTTTTCTTTTTCCCTAGCTTTATAATTAAGTGTGTATTATCTAGATGTGGGTTATGGTGTAACAAACGTGCCCTAATTGCATGTAGATGTGGGTTAGCAAAGAAAAATGTGCCCGCCCTCTTGTATCTAATTGGATCCATATATTCTAGTTTAGAATATCACGTTATAAAAAGAAAAAAAACTGCGTGCCTTTAATTATAAAAACTGAAAAATCAAACAAACACTACGGACTAAAATTTAATTTTACCTTTTGGTGTAACCTTTGTCTATAAATTGTTGCAATTTACACCAAAGGGAAAAATTGGAGAGGGAATGGAGTCTCATACAGAAAAGGTGAGGGATCGAAGGACAAAATACTGAACGAATATATACAGAAAAATAGACGCAGCATGAGATGAATAGCTTTGTGGTCTTTATCTAGCCTCAATGCTTGAACCAGGTACAGAATCACTTGAATCTACAAACTTGCATGTTTTGGAAATATATGAACATGTCAAGATAGCAGCAATAACATATATAATCGAACCTTATCGAGCCTCCAAAACCGTAATGGATAATTCATTGGCTGAAGATGATTGATTTTCTGAAGAATGACCTGCTTCATGTGATTCCTTTTCCATGAAGAAACCAGGTTGTTTGGGCTGAGCCAAAGCCATCTCACTTCCCAGCATTATAACCACAGACGCCATGCTTGGCCTGTCCTCAGGATGATGCTGCACACACAAGAGACTAACATGGATGCAACGCGACATTTCTGATAGAGTAGATGCGCTTCCTAAATATGTATCAATCAGTTCTAAATGCCTTCCTTCATTCCATAGTCTCCATGCCTGAAACATGCCAAAAATCCTTCATCAATTACCATCTATTCGGCGAATATATGCAGCAAGAAGAAAGTTTACTCTTGATACTTGCATGTCCGATAAGGTTAGGGCTGGTTGGGTGGTAGAATCCCTTGTTTTTCCTTCCACTAATGACCTCCAGCACCAAAACACCAAAGCTAAAGACATCAGACTTTACAGAAAATAGACCGTCAATAACATACTCGGGTGCCATGTAACCGCTGTAAACAGAAACATCATGGAGAAGTGAGATCACAACAGAAACCATTGATCAGGATTAAAAGTGTACCTACAGAAAATATTAAAAGACAAACTTACTATGTTCCAACCACTCTGTTTGTATTTCCTCCAGTCTGATTTCCCCCAGTCAATGTTCGAGCCAAGCCAAAGTCTGAAATTTTTGGATTCATTTCATTATCAAGTAGGACATTACTTGCTTTGAGATCTCTATGAATAATCCTTAGCCTGGAATCTTGGTGCAGATAGAGGAGACCACGAGCAATTCCACAAATAATGTGGTAACGTTTAGGCCAATCTAACAGTAGTTCTCCGCTCATTTGATCTGGCAAAGTTGAATGCAAAAATCCAACTTCAACTCTCTATAGAAAATTGCTTAAATATGAAATTGTTTTACAGCTATTAAGCAATTAATTTTGAGCAAATTAATAAGGTTTTCAAAAGTCCAAACCAAAGATGAATGAGTCCAGGCTTCCGTTGGGCATGTATTCATAGATCAGCATTTTCTCGTCTCCTTGAACGCAGCAACCAAGAAGTTTTACCAGATTTCGGTGCTGAAGTTTGGCAATCAGTATAACTTCATTCATGAACTCGTTCATTCCTTGGCCAGAACTTCTTGAAAGCCTCTTCACAGCAATTTCTTGTCCATCTGCTAGCGTCCCCTGTAAATTCACACTATTTCAAATACTGCAACCTTGTAAAGAAAGTTAGTATGCCCCTTATTATACAAGTTACAAATTTACCTTGTAAACCGGTCCAAAGCCACCTTCTCCCAGCTTGTTATTGCTTGAAAAGTTATCTGTGGCACTAATTACAGTGGCCAATTCGAAGAGCGGGAGCTCCAGGTCCTCCTTTGGTGCCCCTTCATTGTCCTGATTTCTGTCTCTTATTTCTGTTTTCTCTCATGCAGTGGAAATGGGCATCATGTTAGCTATAGCCAATAGGAGTAAGTGAACAAAAGCTTATATCCGCAGATGAAATACATATTGGTTCAACCATATACTTTTGAACAAATTTAAACTGGATAAAACTTTTAAGCATTTTCTCTCAAATAGTCATCAAAACAGAGTTAAACAACATGGATAAATAAATACTTGGAAAGATGGTCAGGGTGAGTTAATCTACCCTTTAATTTTTTCCTTCTCCGGTGAATGCAATAGGCAACTAACAGCACTCCAGAAAACACTACTGCTATGACAGCTACAACTATCAATGCAGTCTTCAGCTTACCGTCATTTTCTTCTTCATTGTTGAATGATGTAGTAAAGCAGATACAGTTAAATTGCAGCCACAAAAAATTCAAAAAGATTGGTCAGTTCTTTAACTTCGATAAAAGCAAAATGCACTGGTGACATAAACAAGCAACTTTACGTTACAAAGTTTCATACCTAACTCCGAAGCTGACATTCGAATATATATTTCCTGCCCAGAAGTCAGAGCCTGTGTGGTATCTATTAGATCACCAAACCAGATGGCACAGCCAGTACCTCCTCTGATATCTGAGCTTCTATAAGCCATACAAGAACAGTTGTTCAAGCATTCGGCTCTGCATTCCTTGAGATTCATACTTTTGTTCACCCAAGAATGCGTAGTATCTGGCAATTTCAAGCCAACGAATTTGAGAAACCCATCTTTATCTGTTTCCTGACAGCTCAAGGGTTTATTGCGCACACATCCTAGAGACCAGTCAGCCAAATTCCATTTTTCTTGAGACTTAGGCTTGAATCCTTTTAGACATTGGCAGACTGGATTCTCACCAATACAATTTCCATTCGCTCCACAGAAGCCATAATGATCACACACATCTCTAGGTCTTGATAAATGGGCAGTCCAAGCTTCATCTTCTTTCTTCCAATGAAAGCGAATACATGAACTGGTGGTTTGGTTCAAAACTATTCTTGATGTTATAGACTTAATGGTGGGTTTGTACATGTAATACACTTCCTCATCATTGTACACAAAGTTGAAACCATAACGAGCAGGATGCTTCTCTGATGAACCACAGAAAGTGAGGCCATTAAACGGACTGGCACGATAAATTTTCGTGGTGCCATTGCGAATATATGCCTCGGGGTATGCTTGAAGTTCCATTTCAATCCCATACGTGAAATTGCCTGGACAGGGATCTTCTGAGTTTTTCCATGCCGATATGTGTCGTTTCAGACCCGTCCTTAAGTCCCATCCCAACTTCATTCCTGGTAACAAAGTATCAGAAGGATGGTCGAAACTTTGCCACAAATAGGGTCCTGAAATTCCATCTTTCACATCTCTTACTACCAAATTTCCAGAATCTAAAAGCTGTACCATTGCATTTTCGACACGTTTAACTGAGCTTGTGGACCAAACAAGACTCTTGTTCTGACCAAACAGCACAAGATTGCCTGTGCTGTTTATCATCAACATGCCGGAAGAATCATTAATGGGGTTGCATCTGTTTGCAACCCAAACAACAGTTCTACCTGGGATGTTCTTGTACCAAATTCCCAAGTAACGATTTGTGGAGCTACCGGGACTGAAGAAACCAAGCTCAAAGCTTCCATCACTTGAAACCAACGTCGTGTTGTCACTGACAGACTGCGAGGGGCTAATGCTGTCAACTGCAGAGGAAATTGTGAAAAACAGAAAGAGCAAATTAGTACTAATATGCAGAGAACAAGGACCACCCATTAATAATTTTTCTTTTTTCTCTGTGCCGGAGAGGGATTTCCTTCAAGTTAAAGATTAGAAAGAAAAGATGCTTGTGGTTGATAATTGAGAAGATTATAACCAGGCTCATCCAAACGTCAAATAATTGTGGAAATTGTGAAATGGGTTGGTTTTCACAAATCAAGATTAGATTTTTCTTTGCCTTCTGCTTCATCTATATAGTACTACTGTTAATTCACGCATGAGTTTGCTACATGAGTCAGTCCATCAATGGTGAGGCCCTACCTGTCATCAATTGAATACAAAACGCGTTTTGGACTAAAAGTTTTCCATTCTTTTACTACTGAGTTCCTTCTTGTACAAAATTTCTTGTGTACAGAAATCCCAGTCATTATCAGTTCAGACCAGACGAAAATCCCAGTCATTATCAGTTCAGACCAGACGAAAATCAACCCAAGACTTCACATTGCTTCTGCCTTAGCTAAAAGAATTTTGAGCTTTTTCTCTCAGAATCTTCGTCTTTAGTTCGTTCGACTTTGAAATTTCAAAAGAGAATTCAAAGAAGAGAATTGGGTTTTGGGTACTTTACTTTTGGCACTTGCAGATTGTCAAAGACAGAAAAAGTGGCGGCATTGTTGTTTTCATCTGCGGCGTCCAAATATCATCGCTGTAATCTGCATTTCCACTATGGTCTGAAACCAACTAACAAATATCGCGTTGCAATTCTTCTCGTAAAAATGAGAGGTTGCAATTACGACATTGAACAACGGGGATAAAAGGAGGAAGTCAAAGAGTTAAAAAGGTAGAAAAGGGAAGAAAATGACGGCTGCTATCCACGAATATAATCATCATTCTTGATGGAAGTCTTTTTATATTTTTATAATCATCATTCTTGATGGAAGTCTTTTTATATTTTTATAATCATCATTCTTGAAAAAACTAATAAAATAAAAAACTAGTTTAGCTATTTAATTAATAGTGTGGCTATTTCAGTATTTAATGAAAATAATAAATTTATCGATTTGCTTGTAATAGTTCTATTTAGAGAGATGATTTTAAAATGGTACCATAGAAATTGACCATACCTATCATAAAAAGTGCTCGAAAATAAGAAGAAACGAATTTCTATTTGGTGAATTGACCTAACTCAACTGCAGAAAGCGAGTGCACCGCATATGAGTCAGTACTTTAATTTCTAAAGTAAGTTACAAATGTGCCCTTGTTTACTTTGAAAACTAAGAGTGAGCATTCACATGAAATGACAGGCAGTTTTGTTTCTGCTTACTATTTTGATAAAATATCTGTAGAAAATATCATTTGCTTATCATGATTCATGTGACTTCACTTAACATAAAATTCAACGGGACTGGTACATTTGGAATAAATATAGGTGGTAAATTGTAAAAAAGAAAAATTATTAGGTCCATATCGTATTTGTGCAAATTTCCCAAAAAAAAAAAAAAAACAATATGTATATAATTATTAGGTCCATATCGTATTTGAGGAAAAGATGTTCTATCTTGCTTCCAACTGCGTTATACTCATTTCATTTTTTGAGTGTGATTCACGCTTGGTGGATGAAGAATCTGCTTCAATTGGGTTCCTGTCAGTAAAGAAACCAGGTTGTTTGGGCGCAGGCAATGAACCCTCACCACCCAACATCAGCACCACATATGCCATGTTTGGTCTATCTTCTGGTTGTTGCTGTCAAACAAAGTAGGGTAAATATTCAGTTATGTTAAGATACGCTCATATTATTATTCTTCTCCAATATGGAGGTATTTATACAAGTACAAAGATGTGTTAACCCTAAATAAAATAGGAAATATATCTAAATTACAATAGGAAGTAAATCTCTATTACAATAGGACTAAATAATAATTGGTAAGTAACCAAAATTCTAACTAAATAAGGAACCGAAATCCTAACTACGTAAGGACTCGCCAACACTCCCCCTCAAGTTGGGTAAAGATATTTTGCACGCCCAACTTGACAAGCAAGTCACAGAACACCATACTTGAGAAGCACCAATTGTAGAGAAGGTCTTTTCGTCAACCACGAGTGAAACAAGTGACAAACTAAAGCAAAGTTCGCAGCGGAAACACACGAGCAAACCCACGAGTGAACACCATACTTGAGAAGCACCAATTGCAGAACACAAAAATCCTGTGAGCACGGCAGCAGATAAGGCAGAACACAGAAGCCCTGTGAACCCGGCAAAAGCAAAGGCAACCAAACCCTAAAAATAGGGTAAGGCAAGGTAAGGCAAATAAAGGCCAAGCAAAGGCAAGGTGGCAATGCATGGCAAAGAAAGCCCATATAGGGCAACAAAACCCTAAAAATAGGGTAAGGCACGACAAAGGTAAAGCCTTACCCTAAAAATAGGGTAAGGCAAGGCATGGCAAGGCAAGGCAAAGCCAAACCCTAACAAATAGGGTAAGGCAAGGCAAAGAAAGTCAAGAGCAAAGGCAAGGTCAACGGGCATGACCACAGCAGAAACACATCACAGCAAAGGCATGAGCAACAATATTGGCACCAACAAGAGCAACAAGGCAGAGACATAACAGACATCATCAACAGCAATACAAGGCATTGGCACCAGAAACAGCAGAGACAACTTCTCTTCACTCCCCCTCTCCCCCCGAAGAGAAGGGGTCGATGGAGCCATATGATCAATGGTACTTGAGAAACATGCACTGATTAACACTGAGATGTATCAGAATCAGTCATGGCAGATAGGTGGTTAAATCGCAACGGAATAGATGAGCAGCGATGTCACTCCCCCTCAAATCTGACGATGTATGAGAGTCGAGATTTGGAGAAAGTAACACCCAAATAAAGTTGCAACACTCCCCCTCAAATCCGACATTGATAAAGGGTCGAGATTTGGAAGAAGAGAAATTGAATAATAGTAAAGAGACTCAAACATGCCAGTCTCGTGGTAGAAACAAATGCAAGATGGGAAGGTGGTAGGGAGGTGGATGAATTTGTATAGATAGGGTAGGTGATGTTGACAAATGCGAGAGGTGTTGATAAAGGAAGAGACATATGGTGCAAAACAAGTCAATAAAATAAAGGATAAAAAAAAGAGAGGCAAGACATCTAGCATGTGGGCAAGAGAAGAAAAGACAGAGAGAGCTCAAGAGATAGAGCTAATCACAAAGGGTGTTGGCGGGCAGAGAGAGAACATAGAATATTAAATATAAAAAGTGAAACAAGTGGAAGACAGAGTGCATGTGGGATATGGGCAAGACAAGAAGCCGGGACAATGCCGGCAACACAGAGAGAGTAAGTAGCTGTGCAAAGGGAACAATGACAGTGTGGATTGGCCGGGATAACTTTGAATGAATTGGTTTTAGGCTGGTATGGTATGGGATTGCAGATGCCAGACGGGCCTGGAAACTTAATTGGAAGCTTGACTTGGGATGTGATACCAAGTCTGTAACATAGAGGAAGAAATCACTGCAGATATGGCTCGGCGAGCGTTGATGAGGCTTGCGGAGGAAAGCAATGGCTCGGTGATCGGTGACGAGGCTCACGGAGTAAAGCAACGGCTCAGTGAGTGGTGACGAGGCTCACGGAGTAAAGAGACTTGTTATGAAGTTTCAAAGATAGAGAAGCTGAGACATCAAGAAAGACCATAAGATGAAGACCCATGATGGGTTAGGAATGAGGAGTGCCAACGACTCTCAATTTGGCAAAGGTAATCACAGGGGAACACAGCGGAGCACAGCAAATACACAAATACGGTAGATGCACGAAGACACGAATGACACGAACACAGCGACACAACACACAAACCCAGGAGGGCACACAGGGCACTGGTAGGAAAAAAAATATGAGGCTAGAACACGGGTGAGCACAACACACGGGTCACCAGAAAAGTTGGCTCTAATGCCATGTCAAACAAAGTAGGGTAAATATTCAGTTATGCTAAGATACGCTCATATTATTATTCTTCTCCAATATGGAGGTATTTATACAAGTACAAAGATGTGTTAATCCTAAATAAAATAGGAAATATATCTAAATTACAATAGGAAGTAAATCTCTATTACAATAGGACTAAATAATAATTGGTAAGTAACCAAAATCCTAACTACGTAAGGACTCACCAACAGTTGCTGCACACACAACAGAGCTATGTGAATGCATCGCGACACGTCCGGTAGAAGACATGAGCCATCTTACACCTTATCCAATACTTCCAATGGCCTTCCTTCAATCCATAGAGTCCCTGCCTAAAATTAATCAAATTTATGTTATGTTGCTCTTCCTTCCTTCCCACGTTAAAAAAAACATATGAAGTAAGCTTGAACAAGTTGTTCTTTAATAAAGCTTATCCCCTGTTCTTCTTCCCACTCGCTATCTCAAGCACCATGACGCCGAAGCTATAGACATCGGATTTGACTGAGAAGAGTCCATCAACTATGTACTCAGGAGACATGTAGCCATTGCAAAATGAAGTTGGAGTTACGAGTTCACCAACAACGTAAAATGTACGAGACAAGTTCAGAGCTACCTACTAAGTTCCAACCACTCTATTAGTATTTTCTTCAGTTTTGATCTGCCTCGAATGCTCTAGCCGTGCCAAAATCAGATATTTTTGGATTCATGTCTTTATCTAGCAAAACATTGCTGGTTTTAAGATCCCTATGGATTATCCTCAGTCTAGAATCTTGGTGAAGATAAAGAAGTCCTCGAGCAATTCCGCCGATGATATTGATACGTTGATCCCAACCAAGTAATTTACTTCTTGTATCATCTGACCAATTGATCATAAAAGTTAGTTTAATCTACTCTTAATTTTAGAACAAAAAATTTAAGAGGAATTATGAAAAGACTGATGGGAGTGCTAGTCGATGGAGGTTCAAACCAAATATGAAATAGTCCAAGCTCTTGTTGGGCATGTATTCATAAATTAACATTTTTTCGTCTCCCTCAATACAGCAACCAAGAAGCTTTACAAGATTTCTGTGTTGAAGTTTAGCAATCAATATTACTTCATTCATGAATTCTTTAATTCCTTGCCCCGAACATTTTGAAAGCCTTTTAACTGCTATATCTTGCCCCTCTATCAGTATGCCCTAGAAAGCATCATTTCCAATAAGTTGAGAGAGATATTTTTAAACTAAGAATACATCACATTATACTATGTTACCTTGTATACTGGTCCAAAACCACCTTCTCCCAGCTTGTCATTGTTTGAGAAATTGTCAGTGGCTCTGGATACGGTGGCCAAATCAAATGTTATCAGCTCCATGTCTTCGTTTCCGCATTCAAAATTAAAGTTCTTTTCACGTATGTGTTTCATTTTTCCTGAGAAAGTTGATGAAGCAATAAGTTCATGATTCTTTCCAAAACAGGAAGAGGGAGGGAGGATCAAAAAAATTCTATCACCTTCCAGAATTTTGTCCTCTCCTACTCTTAGTCAAAAGCATGACAGCCAACCAAGGTGGTTTGTGTGAGTGGTTCGGCACTCTCATTCCTTAAGAGAGGTCAGAGGTTCGATTCCTGCTCTCATATGGAGTCACCACTTTGGCCAGCACTTTACCTCTTACGGGCCGACCCGGTGTGAGCGGGGATTAGTCTGGGTTGTGGTTAAGGCTTAAAGGTGCCCCCCATAGTTGAGGCCCATCCAGGACCCCCTCGTGGTTCAGACCAAAAAAAAAAAAAGCATGACAGCTAGAAAAAAATAAACACGGAGAACTCTGTGTAACACATGATCAACAAAATGGTGATGTTAATTAATTTCTGCCTTGTGCTTTCAATTTCTTCTTCCGCTTGTAAAAAACCAATCCTAGTATTATCACTCCCATGACTAGCAGCCCAACGCTGGCTATGATTGCCACTTTCTTCTTTACACCAGAGGGCTTGCTCGTCTTGATGTCATCTGAAAGATCACAAGTAGATTTAGTGATGTGTTCCAAGTTATAACTAAAAGTTCAAATCAAATAATTCGTTAATCATTAGTGCAGCCATTCCCTTGTGCTCAACATAACGTCCTCTAAACAAGACCAGAAAAAAGTAAGGAAGAAACTAACTTGAAAGAACATGAAACAAAACCAACCTAAGAGGGCTGTCCGGACAAAAAGGACTTGCCCACCAGATTCGAATTCTTTTATATCAATGAGCTCACCAAACCAAAGCAAACATCCACTTCCTCCTTCACTAATATCCAAATTTGCATATGCTGTGCAAGAGCAGTTTCTCAAACACATTTTCTTGCATTCCTCGAGGGACATAGTACTATCGATCCATGACGAAGATGTATCCGTTAATTTCACCCTAGTGAAATTCTGAAATCTGTCTCCATTACTACAACCCAATGGAGTTTTAGGAACACACCCCAAAGACGTGTTGTTTGAATTCCATTCTCTGGGAGATTTTGGTACAAAACCTTGTAAGCATGAACATTGAGGATCAGTACCAAGCTTGCAGAAAGAAAACGCATATGCACCACACAAATCATAGGTGTCACACCAATCTGCATAGTACATTATGTCATTGCTTTGTGATATATCAAACCACATGAACCCCTGCAAGACACCGGACAAGTTCAGCAGTAATCTTGCATGCAACGCATCCTGCAGGAACTCAAACTTGTAAGAGACCTCACTCTCATTTGAAATGAAAACGTATTTAAATAATTTATTCCCAAGTTCAGGAATCCCTGTAAAACCAAGGCCATTCCATGAACCCAACCTATACTGTACTCTAGGACCTTTCTTAATAACCAGTTGAGGGTATCCGCTACAATCCATGGAAAATGAGAATGCGCCCGGAGCTGGATCATCTGCATCTTTCCAAGAAGACAAAACCTTGTTTAGCCCGGTTTTCGAGTTCCAGCCAAGCTTTATTCCTGGTAGCAAATTATCAGTTGGATAATCAAAGCTCTGCCACACAAGCTCATTTCCATCTTTCACTACAAGATTTCCTGATTCTAGGAGCTGAGCAACTGGTTTCCTTATGAATTTTCTTGAAGTGTTGGATGACCAAACAATGCTATTTCTATTTGTGTCACTTAAAAGAACAAGAGCTCCTTGATCAGTGATATTCAAAGCTCCTACTGAGAGATGAGTAAGTGGATTTTCTCTGTTGGCCACCCTACAACTTTCTGAGGAGATATTTCATTGAACCATATTCCCAAGTATCGGTTACTCGAATTACCAGGGCTAAAGAATCCTAATTTGAAGCTTCCACCGGAGGAAACAAGGGTCTCTCCATCTCTGATCGATACACTTGGAGTGATGATGTCTTTGGTGTTGGAGATACTTAGAATGGAGAACAGAAGTGATGTAAAGACAAAGAGCATTGTAAAGATTTCCATAGCTCTTCTGTCTACATGAGTAGGAGAATTCAAGTTTCAAATACGTGAAAGATTTTAGGAAATTTCGTGACTCTGCTGTTCTCGTGAACCTTTTGAATACAACCGCGCATTCAATGCCTCCATTAAAGCTCCCAACAAATCTTGGACTTGTTGAAAATCATATGGTTGTCAATGAGGTAAAAAGAAATAATGTAGATAGCTTTAATACAAGTAGTTGGAGCTGACCGGCCTTCCCCCTGCCTTTGTGGTTGAGTGCGCTGCATTAACTCCTAGTGGTCTTGGGTTCGAAGGTTGGTACCACCTTCTCAGCAAGTAGTTGGAGCTGTGGTCCCTTTTTTCCCTTCCTCCCAGGTCATCTACTTCAAAGAATAGGAAGGAGCTGGGTCAATACCAATGCCCTGATTGGATTTTTGCCTCATGAGAGGACTCCTTCAAATTCGGATAAAATTGAAAGTTGGACTAGGTTGAAAAGAGCGGGCGAGCTCGAGCTAGCCCCTGATGACTTGCTTCTTCTGGCCTGATCGCACGTTGCGTAGGCGTGCCACTATTGGGGATGCGACTAGCCCAGAAGACTTGGTATATGTGATGTAGAGTGTCTCTTTAATGGACTTGCGCTTGATTTGGACCTCTGATCGAGCCATTGTACTCCAAGTGGGGTATTGGCTTGGATGAGTTCTTTTCTATGCCTCAATTAAGAGGACTTTAGTATTCTTTCAATTGTGCGTTGTTGGTTTAACATATATAGATGATACATGACCAGAAAAGAAGGAATCCAATGTTGAGGTTAATGCTCCCTTGATCAGGTTCGGAAACCTATTTTGGGCCCAAGATGACCTTATATTGGAATATTGGGTCAAGACTCAACTAATTTGGGCCGAATACTATGATTTGGGCCCATGCAAGCCTTTTTCTGGGCAAACGAAGCCCTATTTGGACCTAAAACCTTTATTGTTGGTCTATCTAGAAATGAGCAGTTGTATTCAAAAGGTTCAAATATAAAAGATGCGGGAAAGCAAATTGCCAAAAAGTATGATGCAAAAGGTAAATGAAAAGAATGTAAAATACGATTAATGTAAGCTGTAATGAGAGTACAACTTTCAAGAACAAGAGATTTCTCTATCCAGACCTAGTATGGTAACAGGTTAAAATAAAAGCCAAAAATTTCTCTATTTAGTTCTTTTTTCAAGAACAAATATTTAAAAGACTAGAATATCCAATCTGTACAGATTTCAGCTATTTAGCAGAGAACTATATCGAGTGTTTAAACAAGAATCATACCATAGGGATGGCAAAGCAATAAAAAGATAAACGTAGAAGTTGTCAACTGGTCATCTGGGCAACAAATTGGCTATTTCAAAAAATCTTGAAGTTTGTTCAAGTGTTTACAAGACGTTGCATTTGATTTTGGAGAGAGAGTCCTCTTGTGCAGCTATAGAGCCTTTATATTTATAGGAAAGAGTCCCTAATGATGAAAGCACAACTGTTGATATATCCTCGGGAGCCGATTTGTAGGGGGAAATGATATCTCAGATGAAACTACTGTTCTCAACAGATGCCCCTTTGATTTGTGTCCTTTTACAGCTGGAGCTATACAAGCCCCTTGCTATATCTCAGAATAAGTAAATGACATTTTCTTTGATTATTGGGTAAATGCTCTTAACTACTTGAGCTATACAAGCCCCTTGCATTTTTTGTGACTATTAAGCTAGCCATAAATTACAAAGATCACAAAGAATCCAACTTACAGTGGAACAGGATCAAGAAAAAGTGAAGTGACAATATCTTTCATAAGTTTTCCAACATGTGTGAAGCCATCTCCCCTTTCGTAAACCAGATCCACAACTCTTGTTAAATTCGCATGAGGACAGGCTTTGGCACATCATTTGGCCTTATAAGGAGGTCCTCGTTTATATCCTTCCAAAAATCCACAACTTGTTTGTTGAAAACATCTAGTGCCTCTTGCTCTGAGACTCCATGTTGCTTCATTTAGCAATCAACACTCGAAGCCTCATGCCCTCTCTCCTTCTCAGACTGCAAAAATATATAATCCAAAGCATTTAGTTAATTGATCTTGTTTAATATTAATTCAGCGTGTGATAAAGAAAATTGTATACCTTGCAGCCGGCAATGTCATTCATAAGCCTAAAAATGATATTCAAAAGCTCTGAGAATTTTAGGGTTATTAAACAACCACTCAAATGCTTCTTTCGTTACAAGATTTCCCTCTCCAAGTAAAGATATAGTTGAAAAGTAAGTTGTTACCAACAGAAGCTGTTGCAACATGCATATACTTCTCCATAAATATAAAGATATAGTTCGAGCAGGACATTCCACCTGAAAATTAGTTAAAATTAATCATTAAGCGTATCAATTTTAGTTCAGCAAAACAAAAAGGAGAAAAAAAATATCTTTACATAATAAAAAGAAGGAACTATGATTTGGGGATTCTTGGGAACCGAATTTAGCAAAAACCTAGGTCAAATATTTCCTTCCATTTGGGGATTCTTGCCTTGAATTAGGGATTTGATCCTCATTCAATCCCTAATTGATTTAAATCTCCCAAAATCAGGAAAAATAATTCATTTCCCAACAAGAATTATTTTTCCCCAAACCCTATCCTCTGAGACTCCTATAAATACACGGCTACACCAAGGCTTGAGGTAATTCTAAACCTACGTCTGAATTCCTCTCTGAGACTCTACAGGAATTCCCCCTCACAAACCCTAGCCGCCATATTCTCTCTCCCTCTTTCACAAGGCTCCGGTCACCCGATTCACACCATAAACACATCTCCGTACTCTTTTTAGCTATTGTTTCTCTATGAATCAATTGAACTAACTTAGAGATCCGAGGGCCTTTGGCCAACACCCCCCGGGTGTGGTCCTCTTATTCCGATTTATTTTGTAGGGAGAAGGAGACGACGAAGAGGAAGGAGGAATCTTAGATGAATATTCTTGTGGGACAAAAATCGCTCCCACAAATTGGTGCTTTCATTGAGAGCACAAGTTATTCTCAGTGCGTGCTCATGAATCAAGGGAAACCCATTTCCTTTCCATCATACGTTTCATCCGAAACTCTCAAATTATCATGGTGGAACAACCACCGCGAACCGGCGAGAATTTCTCTAGACACCCAAGGGCCCCTCATGGTGAATATGTTATTTTTTTTCTCAAGAAAAAAAAGAAAAGAAAACATAAACCTCTCTTTGCTGGAACCAGAACCCAAAAAAAAAGATGGAAAAAAGGAAAAATGGAGAATAAGAGAAAGGAACATTCTCTCTCTCTCTCTCTCTCTCTCTCTCTCTCTCTCTCTTGTTTTTGACTCCGCATGAGAAGAACAGGAAAAATGGAGAAACCCATAGCTTAGTAGCCGGTTCACCACCACCCACGACACAACCTGCCCTAGCAGGACAAGAGGTCAGCGACCTCCAAGCCCGACGGCTCACGCCGCCACAGCAGTAGGAAAGCAGCCTGGGTGCAATCAGAGAAATTCACCAGCCACTGCTATTCTCAAGTTCTGCTGCCGTTTTCATTTGGCCACACGAGGAACGAGATGTTCCTAAAGTCCAACTACGTGTTTCGGATGAAGGGATAGCCTCGGAAGACACTCGGTCAACTGGGCGGTCAAACTTTCCAAATTGGGTCAACTGGGCCCAATTCACGATCCGCGAGTTCCTACACGATCCTAGGGATGTGTAAGTGTATGCATGTTGTGATTTACTTTTGGCTTCCCTTGAAAATTTTGTAATAGGACAATCATTGTATTTTCCCAAGCTCTATTTTAGATTAAGAATTACATCTCTAGGTGTTCTTATTCGACTACATTATGATGGACAACAATGTGTTTGACAAAGGTAAATTTTGCATTGCATTCACTAAATTCCTGAAGATTATGACTAGTCAACCTTTGCATTAGTATGATTTCCAGCTCACTGTTTCCAACTGGATCCTACCCATCTGTTTTGTCCTATTCTATGAAATTCTCTACTGCCTTGTACGATTCTAACCTAGGAATTTTTGTGTAAAAACCAAAGAATTCCTCATTTGGCAGCCGTCTCTTTTGTGGGTGAGTTTTGGAAAGTTTCTGAGAAAACTTTCTCTTCTTGTCCCTCAAGAGCAAGCCTTCATATTTTTCATCTTTGAATTTTCCAAATTGATTTTTCGAAAACTGCATTTGAAATATGAAAACCACATCTTGCTAGATCAAACACTCTCTCATATATATCTAGGTTAGATTCAAGATTGATTTCTTCAAGAGTATGGTTTCTTGAAGAAATTGGTCATTTACTCCTTAAATCCAAATTTCGCTTTTGTCTGAGTTGGAGCTGGTTAGCTGGTGCCATGGGATGAAAGAGCTGAAAAAGGAGCTGCCATTGCCATGAAGAACCAAGCTGCTGGTTTTGCTAAGCTGGAGAAGAAGATTGCACAAATGAGGTATAGCTCATCTTCCTAAATAAACCTAGGATTTGTTAAGCTTGCTAGTGTTTCTTTATAAGAATCTTTTTGCTTAGCGGATTGCCTGGTCGGTTGATGACCCCAATTTTTCTCAATGGTGGGTTTCTGGGTGAACAATTTCTGGTTTGCATCTCTGTAATTTTCTGGGTTTGTGTTCTTGACAGTTGACTAGTCATCGCATGATGTTCATGTATTTTTTGGGTTTGTGTTCTTGATAGTTGACTAGTCATTGCATGATGTTCATGTATTTTTGGGTTTGTGTTCTTGTGGTTGACTAGTCATCACTATCTGATGTGTGCTATTTATTTTATTATGATGTGTTCTTGATAGTTGACTAGTCATTGCATGATGTTCATGCATTTATGGGTTTGTGTTCTTGCGGTTGACTAGTCATCACTATTTGTTGTGTTCTGTTTATTTGATTATGATGTTTTCATACACTTTCACCATAGTTGTTGCTAGCATAGGGGATGCCTAGATTGACGGGTCATTCTAAGTGCCTAGGTTGTCACTAGTAATCTTCTAGGCTTGCAGGTACAGATTGTTATGCTCTATGTGTGTGTTCTTCGTTATGGTTTCTCAT